TATGGTACGAAAGTAATTTATTAAAAGTAATTCGCAACGAACTCGACGACGTCCATCAACTGCGAGGCGATTCTCGCTCGAGAGGGTCTATCATTGGATCCTTGCCATGTAATGCAATCTAATTCTTCCGTTCCGAGGGGAAATTTTCCGCGTAAGCTAAAAATAGCTCCATCCATCACGAACGTGACAGCTCTGGAGATGCTTCATTATATCTCGTATTATAGTTTAACCAGGAGGAAGCCCCGGAATCACTTAACCAAACTCTCGACGAAAATTGAAAATATATTTAGGCCACTCTCTATTCCCCTGGCCCTGAATTCTTTTCTCTCTCTCTTACTAAACGAATTCGTTGTCTTTCTTGTCAATTTTCTTTTTTGGGCGATATTCACATTTTTGTATTTAAAAAAAAAAATTTGACTCGTCAATTTTTTTTGTCGATTTTTGTCCTTCCGTTGACGTAGGAGAACGAGGTGAGTTCGCTGATGGACCTGCAGCCGTTTTGCCGAGCTGAAATGCCTTGCATGTGGGAGGTCTTCAAGGCGTCGTCCAGCTACGCCATCCCCAACAAGTCAGTGGTCCTTTGCCAAATCGGAACGTGCAAAAAAAAAAAAAATGAGCGGGTCGATTTTTGTCCCTTTCTGGACTAAGAGGTTGCTTGGGTTATTGCCTTCGATGAATCGGAGAAAAATCTCGCATTCAGGGGGGAATTTGGTGGGCGAGCACAAATGGGTGACATTGCAAAAAATCGCGGTAAAACTTTTTTTTATCGCAAATTTAACGTTTGTGCATTCATCGGAAGTGGGCATTGAACAGAGAGGGAATAAACGCTAGACGCAGAACCCGCACTACCCTCCACTCTCTCCATCGCCGCACTACCCTCCACTCTCTCCATCGCCGCACTACCCTCCACCCGCTCCATCGCCGCACTACCCTCCACCCGCTCCATCGCTTTCTTCCCTGTCCCAGCCACTCCCTCCCGCTCCAAACTTTTTCTCGATTCACGTTTAAACAAACACATGACCGAGAAATGAATCTTGCCCGAGATTCAGAGAAGGCCGGCCTCTTCGCTGAAGAAGGCCGGCCTCTTCGCTGAAGAAGGCCGGCTGCCGGACTGGGCTTCCCGGACTCGTGTTCATGGTGAAAATCTCTAAACTTCGCTTTCCACTCATGACAATTTAGTTACTCCCCAATTTGCACATTTTTTACATGCAAATCTTTGCTCCATGAATAAATTTTACGCTAGGAAAAAAAAAAATTACTCCAACATTGAAAAATAATTTAGGAGAAAAAAAAAAACGATTTCACGCAGCAGCCATGCATTTTATTCGCACGTGAAACTCGCGCTAATCTTTCCCGTCTTTCCCATCAAACTTGACTGGATTTTCGCCCATCGTGCGAGAAATATGGCAGAGGGAATATCTATTTAGTATTAAGTAGGCCACGTTTTCGTAAAATCGGTGATATTTCCTTCACGATTCGTGAGCGCGAGCCTCACGGTCACAAGCGGTCTTTAACGGTCGCAAAAGGTCACAAATGGTTACAAATGGTCACAAATGGTTACAAATGGTCACAAATGGTTACAAATGGTCACAAATGGTTACAAATGGTCACAAATGGTCACGAGTGTTTTTTTTCTCTCCCTCTACAGCTGCGTGTGTCCACCGGAGAAGAAATGCATGTTGACATCGGACAACCTGAGCATCGGGGCGTACGTGTACACGTGCCAGGGCCGGAGACAGCCCTGGTCCTACCAGTCTCGGTGAACGGGGGAGGGCGATTGCGAGAGGGCGATTGCCTCTCGCGTTTCTTTTGGCGGGGAGACTCCGAGTTTTTTTTTTTTCTCCTTCTTTAATTTATAGCTCATTATTTATTGGCTTCTCTCGGCATAAAGCGGCATTGAGCGAATGCGGTCGGGTGTTTCATTGCGGGTTAATTGCGTCCTTTTCGAGGGCTAATTGCGTCTTCATTTGTCCTTGGGAAGTTTTCCTTCCTTGCCGGAACAGGATATGAAATAAAATCATTCGTCATCCCGCATCTCATTCTGTGCATTCGAAGAGGGCAAAATAACGCTCGTCATTCCGAGCTGCAAGGAACTGCTCGGTTTCGTTCTGAAGCGGAATTTGGCACGACACACCTAAGCACGACACACCTAAGATTTCACATACCTTGGATACGACACGCCGGTTTCCAGGAAATATCGAAGGAGAAGAAAGAATTGTTGATCGATCTGAGGAAGGAGGAAATGAGACAGCAATTCCCATCCCCCGCGGGGCGGCCGAGGTCCTCCCCCGAGGAAGGACGGAAACGCAATGACTCATATGCCAGTCATTAACCCCCAGAAGCGGGTCTCCGCGGGATGATGCAACGAGGGACCGAGGAAGCGGAAAAGCCTTCAAGGGCTTCTTAATGGTTGGGCATCACGCGAAATGGATGAGTGGGATGCATAGAGGTTACTTTTTGTTTCCACGATTATTTATTCTCATGGACATCGGGGTCGACGGTTATATGTCCTTTTGCCCTTAACTGAGCAAGAACTATAATTTTCTTTTCTTTTTTTTTCTCCCCATGGGGGCCGGATAAGTCCTGGCAACTTCCAGTCTAAGTCGGCACAGGGCATGATTTACGTAGCACTGTTGAAAATAAACAAAAAGGATTCTTCTTGAAAAAGGAGCCAAATAAAAGGCACGAATTAGAACGAAGTTCGCCGTACCACTCGAAGCAAGATTCCAAAAATGCAAATCTCCCCGAGGCGAAGGCAATGATAGAACCAGAGGATCGAATACGTCCATACCAGAAACATCAGATCGAATACGCCCTTCATAGGCATATCCGATCGAATACGCCCATCCCAGACACATCCGGTCGGGCGCTGAGCCGTTCGCCGGAGACAATTGGCAGGCAGAAAGGATAAAGTATATCTGCTTGGAAGTGACTTCGCGAGGAGTTTGCTGCTACAGGCAGCTGAAGAACTAGTTCATGACGAATTGATGGTGTTCGCTCTCCTACATTCTCTGGAACGAGATAGTTTCACATTCATTATATGAAGCTCACATCTATAGGCCTTATGGTGTTTTTCACACGAATTGGATGTTTTGTTGCTTAGCTTCGACACTCATGCACGAGGAACGTCTCATTCACGAGTATCCGAGGTACTGTAAGTGAAAAATTGTCTAATCGAAGAACACTGTAATTACCTGGATCTGTAGAATTCGTCGAGACTTGAAAGGATGCCCAAAGTGCATGCAACGTGACAGCATAGCAGGTATATCTGGCACATTCTGAGGGAGTCTGAAGAGTCTCGAGGGAGAATTCCATTCCTTACATGAAGGTACAGGTCTAGTGCGCTGTGTTTGTTGCTCCCACGTTCAGTCATGACCCTACCACGACTCAAGTGCAGCCAGGAGGCACCAAATCCGCTACGAAACGTTCATAGGCTTCACCTTCTCGACGTTGGACGACTCGACCTCACAGACGGAGTCCCGCACTGCGTCAAATCTCATCGAAGATGGCGGCCGCCGTGTGAGCAGTGCAGTGTGGAGTGTTCGTTTCCCTGGATGGCTGATATTTGGATTGTCTAAGGTGAGTTGAATGGATTTATGGTTTGTTGTTTAGTCCAAAGGCTTATCACGGTTCAGCACTGTATTCAGCCGTGAAATCTGTTTCTTGGACGCGTTTAACGTTAGACTTAGACCCAAGGCCACCTCTTGATATTGATATGCAAAGAGCTGGACACTTATTTCGACGACTGAAAGCATTGAGGGGATGATAGGTGCTGAGCGATCCTGATTTTCCTACCCTATCAGACGTTTTAAGGCCTACGTAAAACGAATTCAACGCTTAGAGTATGGTCTGCAACGACATTATTCGTGTCGGATAGCCGAAATATATCGATTTGTATCACTTATCAGAAACCAGAGTGCAATTTGTTTGTGCATTTCTTTGCTTCTGTTTACTTTCTCTTTTTCACACGATGTGGGGAAAGGAGCATTAGGAAGAGAGGATCCTATTACGAAATATGGGGCTAGGTCAGGCCTAATGCGATACTGTCCTTGACCCATGGCTATTAGTGCCTCGCGCTAGACAGTCACGCAAACCCTGTCCTGCCTAGCTTCGGCACGCGCACACCTTTTATATACGCTTAGGCTCATGAGGCGGTGCGAGGGAATTAGAGCGTCAGCATTAACGAATGTCCTCTCCGCGCAGTAGCGGATCCAGGGAGGAAGGGGGGGGGGATAATTTTTTTTGGAACCTGTGAAATAGATATCCAGGTTTATACCCCAGACGAAAAATGAGAAAGGCGATAGATCGGAGGGTGGCGGTAGGTGGAAGTAGCCCCCCATGAAAATTTTCTGCATCCGCCACTGCTTCTTCGTCTTTCCTGTCTTCTATCGAACGGTTTCACGCTCGTGACGCTTTCATCTTTCTGCATGAGAATGATGCATGGATCCAAGACATGCCGATGAAACGAAGATTCCGAGCCTTTCAAGATGCTTTCGTACATCGGAGCATGGTTTCACTCATCCATTCACTCATTCACTTTGGCGTCGGAAGTGCTTCCAAGCATCCTATGTAGCGCTCACGAACCTTCCCCGTTCACACCATGCACACTACAGTCCCCTTCCTGCATCCAGGCATTATCGCCAACAGTCGTGCGGATTCCTGTATTCCTCGTGCGCTAGGTTAGAGGCTCTCGGGGCGAGAGCGACAGGATCGAGACCTTATATCTTTATCGATTGGGAACGCAAAACTAAATTAATACGAGAACTAGGGTAAAGGCATTCTGGAGCGGAGGGGTAATAAATAGTAATTAGTTACAGTGGGAAGTAATAAATTCTTGAATACTTGGGGTTTCTGGGATTAATCACTTAAGCCTATTAATCACTAAACCCTATTAGCGAAAAGCTCTATTTTGCAATAAAAATGTAGGTTGTTATGATGCGGCGGGAGGGAGATAACAGGTGTGCGTGTAACTTTCAATAACCGACCTGTTTGCGAATCCGCTCCAGGCCTGGTCACCATGTATTGTTCAATAAAAAATTAAAAGATGGGTTTCCGGTTCCCTATCGGAATAACGGATATCGGTACAAGACCGTTTGTAGGCATATTGGCGCCAATCCCCCCCCCCCCCCTTTCTCCCAGCCAATAACTGCGGCGCGGAGCACCACCGTAATTTCAAATTTTTATTTTATCTTCTCTCGTCCCAATTAGCACTAGTTCGCATAAAGTGGACGCTAATTGCATAAAAAACTTCTATTATTGTTGTCTTTCTTTGCGTGGCGCCGCCTCCCCCCCCCGTTCTCTGCTGGCACCCCGGGCGAACGTCCGCTTGGGCGTCACTTGGACTCTGCACTTAAGGACTCTGACTAGCAACATTGGCTGATTCAAAGTGAGTTGAATCAATAATAAAATTATTATTGAATGCACCCACGACTAGCTCAGGTGTTGAAATAGGAGAGAGCATAAAAGCAGTTGCTGAATTTCCACATCTTGATAGCGTCAAATTTGCGTATTAAACGTACTTTCTCTTAAGTTCCATAGCATTGCATGCCCGCTTGACACCTTTCTCTGTGGGGCAGCATGCGACACCATGTGGCCTCTTTTGACGTCGTTGTGTGCTACAGGTGTCGAGGTTCTGGCAAGTGAGGGCACAGGTGGATCTGGTTGATACAATAATGTGGAGAGTACGGGGTACCACGTGAAGGAGATACATCGTGCTTCATTTCCATTAGGAGGTCTTGAGTTCGACACGCCATGTTCCAAATTTCGATTTAGCATGTTTTTCATTTGGTCGTAGTAATTAGGATGAGTAGCGGTTAGAGGTAGGGTTTAGCAGTAACTGCATCATGAAGCAGAAATCAGATGTAATTAAGAATCTGCTGGCACTACGTTTGGAGGGGATTTGCAGGTTAAGAGAAAGCCGGAATGGGGAGGCAGTCCCAGACATACGAGTAGTTTGCCGTCTGGGCAATGTTTGCAAAATTCGGGAGCAGGACTGAAAAAATGTTTCTCAGTCAATTCCCCGAATGGTCAGTTTCCCGTTTGGAAAATCCTCCGACCGGGTAAATTTCCTATCGATGAATTCTACGATGGAGGCACAAAGGTAATGGACTTGTTTCCGAAAAAGTTTCCTGTCCCGCTCATCATGCACAGGGGAATAAGGGGAGAGGGAATGTGGCCGCCCTCCAACCGAGCTGGAACCGAAGCGAGGTGGTTCTAGGCGAACGGAAGGGGAAAGTCGCTAATCTTCTCTGATCCAGGAGGGAAGGAAATCATTAAATTATTTTCCTGCCTACCTCATACACTTAGTTCGCCTAGGGAACATGACAACGGATCCAATGCATCTCTTGTAAGGGTTCTCACGGAAAAGGTAAAGAAAGATGTAAAAGGTCACAGAAGTAGTTGCAGGATAATCATCAGTTCATCTACCAGAGATGAGACGATCGACAAGATGTCTATCAAGATCAAAAATGTAACTATACTGTATATGGAGAAGTCTTAGGAAGTCCTAGGTATCGGATCATTACATGGTTAGTCCTTGGACGGTGAGAGTTGGGTGGATTCATGGAGTTTGTGAAGAGCGAAGATGGAAAGAATCTTGTACTAGAGGACTATGGGCTCACAAAGAATAAAATGAGCAAGAACGGCCGGAGAACGTATAGGGAGTATAACATGAGTTTTTATGAAGTACCACCAAGGAAACCATTTCAATAGTAAGCTTCTTTTCACCATTAAACCATAAAACTTTTATCAGGTGGGGTTGCTCCGTTATTTCTGTCATTATACCTTTTCAGAGAAAAGCAAGGGCGTAAACCATAAATCGACCCCTGGACATGAAGGAGACTTGGTGGGATTTTATTTTTGGCTATTATCCCTGAGACAGAAGTAGCATCATTTGAGAAGCAACACTCAGATTAGGGCTTAACTGGTATC